CAGGTGCATACACGCTTATTATAACCCACTTTTCACATCCAATCTTTACTTTACTCCACATAATCCTTGAATTTATACATTTGTAGTCCCTCTTTTTCCTGCCATAGCTTATCCTTAACATTATTGCTACTCCTTCTTTAGCTCTAACTCTATTTGAAACCCCTGACCTAATCCCATTTATTCCTCTCCATTGAAACTCTCCCACCCCCTTCAGCTTTGTTTCACTTAAAGCCAGGACATCCAGTTTCTTCTCATTCATAACATCCACAATCATCTCTTTCTTATTATTTGCACAACATCCACGCACATTCAGACTTCCCACTTTGACAATTTTCTTCTTCTTATTCTTTTTAGTAATCTTTACAGGAAAAGGGGTTACTAGCCCATTGTTCCGGCATTTTAGTTGACTTTTACAACACGCATGGCTTACGGAGGAAAGATTCTTATTCCACTTCCCCATGGATATAAAAGGAAAAGTAATAAGACCAAGAACTATTAAGATAAAATCAAAGAAAACTCAGATGAGTGTGTATAAATAAACGTGTACATGTACGTGTAGTGTGAACTAAGTGTAAGCAGAAGTAGCAAGACGTTCCTGTAATCTTGCATATTTATGAGACAGACAAAAGACACCAGCAATCCTACCATCGTGTAAAACAATTACAGGCTTTCGTTTTACACTCACTTGGCAGGACGGTAGTACCTCCCTGGGTGGTTGCTGTCTACCAACCTACTACCTATTAATAGTTGCAAAATTCCATAAATTCTTCTCCAGAGGAACTGAAATGGCTAAAAAGAATACAAAAAAATTTAAATAAGCATAAACGCAGTATCTTTCTAGTGAATCATTAACTACGAGAAACTTTGTTATGATCGCTTTCCAGTATCAACCACTAATAGCCAACTTTCACTAACTTATAACCTCCCCAATGGTAGATTCCAAAATAGAGATAGTACAAGGGAAAAGGAAAAAGAGGACAAAGATCCACAATCAGGTTCCTATTCATAACTTTATTTCCACCACAGAGGATATAAATATTCCTATAAAACTAATGCCCCCAAACCCCAAGGAGTGTGTGCCTAGGTTGACATGGGGCTCCAAAAGCCCCATGTCAACCTAGACAGCCTCTCCTACCATGATTCTTGCCTAAAGCCAATGACACTTCTTCTGCTGCCAGTTGAGAGTCCTTCCCTCATCAGCTGCCATATTATAGACACTAGACATGTCATGCAACTTCACCAATCCTAGATGCCTCATAGCAAATATAAGCAATTCTCTATTAGGTATATAATGTAAAACTACCTCAACAGGAAAGACAAACTCTTTCGTAAAAACCAATGCAGTCTACAGTGCCTGCAAAAATAATCCGGACCTCCCTTTTATTACATAAATATTTAAAAAGCAGCATATATAGCATTTAATGTACAGCTCTGTTTATCTGGAATGTATCTTATGTGAAATGTGGTTGTTTATTGTATTTCACTATAGTTTTTGGGATGCTGAAACCAATATGACCACAATAAGAACTGACTGGTTAAAGGAAACTGAATGCAGTTTTTTAATGCTTTGCTGTCCAGACTTCCCAAAATAATGTTGCTGCCAGTGTCCAGTTTTTAAACAAAAAATATTTTTTCTTCTGAAATGGAAGAGAATCTTTTTCTGAAGGAAATGACACGAAATGTATGAAATTTGAGGGATAATTTACAGAATTAAGCAAAGGCAATTTTGCCCAATTTCACTCTTATTTTCAGCCAATTCTATTGTTCCATTTGATCAAATTCTTAGCTATTTTGCAAATATGCCTTCCATTGAACTATTACAGCTACTTATAAAATGCACAAAGTCAGTAATTTGGCAAATTTTACACAAAATTAAAAAAATACCAGTTTAACCCTTTCACTGTCAGTGTCATAATATTACAGCTTGCAAGCCAGTGTTGGTGCCGTAATATTACGCCAAAATTCTAGCAACTTCCAGACTTGCAGAAGATGGGTCTGAGTGGTTAGTGTGTGCAGTATAAAAAAAATCCTGCAGCACACAGTGCATAATGAGAAAAAAACCTCCGACCATGTTTTTGGTTTAAAACACCGAGTTTGCAGTGTATTTTCATATGGTATTTATGACTATTCTCGTTTTCTTGGTCTCATTTGATAGAATGGAAGATATATTACAGAAATAGAGATGACGTTGAATGGTTTACGAACTAAAAGTACCTTGAAATTGAGCTCAAATAGCAGAAATGTTCAATTTTTTCCTATGTTCAAGAGTAAACAATATATGTCAACTGGTGAGTTTAACATGCTTTCACAAATGCACTGATATTATTTATACCATTTTTATAATAATACAGTAGTCTGCATAACAGTAAATCTTCTATTCTTTGTGTGAATAAAAATTCAAAATGGAAGGCAAGTGGGACCTGGAGATGTGACTAATGAACAAAGAAAATGTTATTTTAGTGCTAGGAATGTTTGCACTGTTAATTCTGGACCCTATTTTGAAATTGGCCTTACTTGAATTGTGTATGAAATTGGCCAAATTACCAATGCCTAATCACTTTATTGGGTAGTTGAATCGGTAAATGGGTGGTTTCTTGTACTCAATCAATAGAACAAATGGAGTTCTAGCGAAACAGCTATGAGTTTAATCGACTGGAATAATGAAATTAGCCGAAAATAGGGCTAAAAGTGGGCGAAATTGCCGATGCATAAATATCGCCAAGGTCGCTAACTTTGCGAGAGCATAATTCCATAAGTTTTCCATCAAATTTTGTATTTTTGGTGTCAATACCATTGGGAAAAGGTTCTCTATCATTTCATAATAATTTTTTTTTTTTTTTGGAAAATTCTTCAAAACTGAGAGCAAGTTTGAGAGCTGGGGTCTCAACAGTGAAAGGGTTAAAAATAGTCCAAAGTAAACACTGAAGATATTCATGGCACTAAAACAATATTTCCTTTGTTCATTAATCACATCCCCAGGCCTCTCCTATATTACACTTGCTCTTCATTTAGAATTCAAAATCACAAAAATAGAAGAACTGCTCTGTTTTTCAGATGAAATACAACCAGGAATGATTGGTCAAAGTTTATGGTAAAACAATAATTGAATAAGACCGGGGCATACAGGGAGGCCTTACCAGTCCTCAGGAAAACTGGCAAAAATTGAATATTTCTACTACTTTGAGCCCAATTTCAAGCTACTTCCAGTCCAGAAACCAATGAAAAAATCTTTCTTTCAGTATTACTGTAGACAGCCTGTACTGTCTGCACAGACAGCCTATGCTGTCTGCCAGCTTAGTTCATATTTCGCATCACTAAGGTGCTGCCCTCTAGGCCTGCTCCAGGTCTGTGGGAAGCTGGTCCCACACTCTCCCACGCACACAGTGGCCTAGCAGCAAAACAGAAGGCCTATTAGCTCTCTCCTCTCGTGGGCATGGCCCTACCCAGGCCATGGGCACAACACACAAGCCTGTGTACCCACCACAACTTTGGAAATAAAGTAAGAAGCCTCCGAAGACGTATCATTCACTCCCCGCTACCAGCTACACCAAATAATCTCGTTATATTACGTCTTACATTCTATTAAATGATACCAAGAAACAGACAATAAAACTATAAAACCATTGTAGAAAACACCTCGGTTACTATTTTTAACCAAACACAAGGTCATGATGCCCTGCATGGAGCAGGACTTTTTTATACTGTGCACACTCATTACACAGTCCCATTCTCTCATTTCCAGGCCAAAAATTTACCTCTCAGCTTTTCTGAGCTGGCCTCAACAACAGTTCTATGCGACAGCCACTGAAAGGGTTAAATAATTATGCATTGTGGCTAAAGGGAACTGTAAATATGATTTAAACACATTGTGGGTCTGAATAAAGAACTTTTCCCTCGTAGTTTATTTACCCACCTTCCCTCCCAGGTCAAAGTTAACAGCAACTAGCCTGAGTCTATATCTTTATTTTTTTTTTTTCAACAAGTCGGCCGTCTCCCACCGAGGCAGGGTGATCCAAAAAAGAAAGAAAATCCCCAAAAAGAAAATACTTTCATCATCATTCAACACTTTCACCTCACTCACACATAATCACTGTTTTCGCAAGGTGCTCAGAACACAACAGTTTAGAAGCATATACTTATAAAGATACACAACATATCCCTCCAAACTGCTAATATCTTTATAAATAAGTTTAATTTGCAATTTTAAGCATCATTTTTGTATTCAATTACCCAAAATTAGTAAAAAATGACTAGTTTTATTACCAAAGCATTTTTGTTGTAGACCACTGCAGTGAGCCTTTTGCATAATTCCTTAGTCATTTTAAACTCCCTTCAAATGCAAAATTATTGAATGTTTTTAAATTCTGAGTACCTGTGCACCAACTTCATTTCATACCAAAGGTTCTCAATATGATTTTGATAGGAAGTAGGACTATGCCATTTCAAAACTGTGAATTTTTTTTTTTGCAATTATTAAAAACAGAAAATTTTGAAGTGAACTTTAAACTGTTGCTGTTTTGTTGGAATCCCAGATACACTAAACACTAATTTTGGCAGGGAAAGTTTTATGAGGATTGGTCATTATTATTTAGCTATCTGTAAGAACAAGTGGTATGGCCATAAAGCTTGTCGGCTTGAAATACTACACTGCAGCATTCTGTAATAAAGTAAAAATAGTAAAAGATAAGAGAAATGAAACTGTACAGAATTCAGAGGTAAACAAAAGCTCAGTAAACCCTCCTATCTACTGCTCTGTCATATCAAGGGTTTGCTGTTGATTGAAAGAAAATCATGGAAACCAGAGGGTCAATGTAAGGTAGTGTCTGTCCCACAGTGATCAAGGTAACAAGAGGGATCAAATGACAGTGATAAAAAAAACTGGCTTTGCACAAAAATGAGATTACGTAAAAGGAGATTTTATATGAACTCCTTTTCTTTCCAATGGAAGAAATCCTGTCAAAATAATGTCTAAAAATAAATCAAATTAAGGAAATAAATACCTGAAAAAATTTGGCCCTGATTGGAGGCTGAGTACAGCGTAAGCCAGCCAGAAAAGCAGGTTCCAGCTTAGCTGTAAGTTCAGTGTTTCTGAGAGTATCATCCCGATAAACATGATTTACAAGTTCCAGAAACTGAGCCATGAGTTCTGTGTCTTCTGAGAACCTCTTCTCCACATACTGCATCAGCTTCACAAGAAGGATTGACTTCTCTCTCAAACTTGGGCCCTGGTTTATTGCTATTGGATTCTTGTTCTTGACCCATTCTTCCACCATCTGGTACATTAGAAATCACACATGCATCCAAATGAAAAAATACAAATGTTAACCTTATACATATATATATATATATGTTTTTTTAAGCCGTTACTGATAACATAAAAAATATTTTTAAATTTAATAATTAAATACAGGAGAAAGGGTTACTAGCCCCTTGCTCCTGGCATTTTAGTCACCTTTTATGATGTACAAAGCTTATGGAGGAAAGATTCTTCTCCATTTTCCCATGCAGATGAAAAGAAATATTATAGTAATAACAAGAACTATTAAGAAAACAAGAAAATTCAGATGGGTGTAAACACATGCACATATCTGCATGTGTAGTATGATCTAAATGTAAATTAGATGTAGCAAGATGTCCCTGCCATCTTGTGTTTTTTTTTTTTTTTTTTTT